TGATCCTTGAATATCAACCAACAGTCTTGGGCCCCTCTGCCCTCTAGGGCTGTATCCCATGGCACCTTCCGAAGCAGGTTCCTGAAGAGACCAAAGTCTGCTCTTTTGAAGTCCAGGGCAGTGAGCTTGCTGCACGCTCTTCTCACTGTCCTGAGGATCTCAAATTCGAGCATCTCATGATCGCTGCATCCAAGGCTGCCCTGGAGCGTCACATTTCCAACGAGCCCTTCCCTGTTGGTGAGTACGAGGTCAAGCACGGCACCTCTCCTTGTCGGCTCCTCTATTACTTGCAGAAGGAAGTTGTCTTCTACACAATCGAGGAACCTCCTGGATTGCTTGTGCCGGGCCGTACCGTCCTTCCAACAGATGTCAGGGTGGTTAAAGTCACCCATGAGAACAAGGGCCTGTGAGCGTGAGGCTTTTCTTATCTATCTATGGAGTGCTTCATCTGCAGGCTCTCCTTGGTCAGGCGGTCTGTAACAGATCCCCACAGTAATGTCTCCCATAGCTATATTCCCTTTAACCCTGACCCACAAACTTTCTGTTGACTGCTCTCCTGTCCCCAGACAGAATTCCATACTCTCCAGCCTATCCCTAACATAAAGGGCAACTCCCCCTCCCCACTTGCCAGCCCTGTCTTTTCTAAAGAGCCTGTAACCTTCCATTCCAACATTCCAGTCATAGGAGTCATCCCACCATGTTTCTGTGATGCCTATTATATCATATCCCCATAGACAAGTACACATCTCTAATTCCTCTTGTTTGTTCCCCATGCTACGGGCATTTGTATAGAGCTCCAAATGAAGCCGGCTCATTGGCTGGAGCGGCTGGGATATCTCTACATTGCTCCGAGCATTTATTATAGGTGCTGGCAACTGACTGGGTGTGTTGGGATGGAAGGATGCCCCCCTCCCCCAACACATCTAGTTTAAAGCCTCCTTGACCAGTCTGGCAAGCCTCCTACCAAAACTGCTCTTTCCCTTCTCTATCATCAGACCAGCTCCACAAGCCCCCACTAGACCTGGCCTACAAGCTTGGGTCCCGTTTCAAGGCACCCAAACCCCTGACTATGGCACCACCCTTCTAACCATTTATTAACCTGGCTAATCCTCCTAGCTTTTTTTAGGTCCTCCCCTGTACCCTGGAGAATTGATGGAAAGACTATCTGAGCTGCAGAGCCCCTAACCACCTCCCCCAGGGCTCTGTAGTCCTTCTTTATGTTCCCCAGGCTACTACTATCTATATCCCTAGCACCCACATGTATCACCAGGAGTGGGTAATAGTCCATGGGACTTACTAGAGCAGGCAGCCTCTCTGCCACATCCCTGATCCGTGCCCCTGGTAGGCAACACACCTCCCTTGAGATGGGGTCTGGCCGGCAGACAAGTGCTTCTGTCCTTTCCAGTGTAGAGTCCCCTCTACTACAGCCCGCCGTTTTTTCCTGGCAGCACCAGTAGAGATCTTCTTTAGCAGTGCATCAGCCGGCTGTTTCTGGCTCGGGTGCGTTTCCTCATCAGCCCCCTGCAGGACAGCAAAGCGGTTCTGCGTGGGGACAGGGGATTTAGGGGGAAGCCCCTTGCTTTTGGTTGTCCTTTTCCTTTTTTTTTTTTTTTTTTTGTCACTAATTCCCAACTTCCCGGGTTAACGGCCTCCTTCTTTCCTTCATGAGCTAGAGGGGAAGCTCGAGGCCCCTGCACAGTTTGGGCCAGGAGCAAGCATTCCTGCTTCCTCTCAGCTTCCCGGACATCTCGCACTCTATTGACAGCGTCCCGCAGCTCAGCCCCTGCTGCAGGAGCACCTCCACCAGGGAGCACCGAGTGCAGCCCGGCCCACTGTGCACCCTCCCCTCACCAGACCAGTGCAGGCACTCTCCTCTCTGCACCCCGAGCTCTGCACCGCAGCCTCCCCTCTCACCGGCTCTGTCTGGGTGCCTACGCTGCCACCGCCGGGGCAGCCAGAGCAGAGCTCCCGGACCGGTCCCTGCTCACAGGACGAGTGCTCACCATCCCGCCCGCCTGCCCGCACAAACTGTCCTCCTCGCCGCGCTCCCTGGGGCAGGTTTTTACCCACTCGGGGCTGGTGCCGCTGCTCCTGGCTCCGCCCCGTGTGAGTCAGCTGCTGGCGTCAGCTGAGCTGCCGGCTCCTGGGCAGGTCCTGTCGAGGACTTGAGGCTCCCTCGGTGGCTCTCGAAGCTCTGAGTTGAGGCTCCTGGACGCTGATCTCCCCCCCGCTCCGGTGTTGAAGGCGTCCTCTCTCGAGCTACTCACCTCAGCAATTGACATGTTCTAACTAGAGTGTTTTGATGTGTTCATTTTGAAATGCCATTTCAAATTTCAATATACTTTTAATAAAGCAAACTTGAAAAATTCTCTAAATAAAACTAAATTTTTGATGGTTTAGATTGATTAAGTTTAAAAACCTGCAAAAGCTGTTGAAACTTACACTGTTTCAGTTTTGCATAAAAGTAATATATTTTTCTCTAAACTTTTGGTTCGGACAGTGAATCAAAGAATCACTGATGCACACATCTCTGACTATAAAATACAGTTATAAGCTTCAATTGAATTAGGATCCTCTCCTTAATCTGATCTTTCAAAAATGCCTGTGTTCTAAATCTGCATGACTTACCGGCTGAATAATATAACTGAAGACTTTTATTTGTTTATTTAAATTCTCCTAGCAAGCTATCACACTCTAGGGATTGGTGATCATCTAAAATATTTCAAGTCGGCTCATTCTGACTATTCAGGCACAGGAACAGCTAATGTTAGAGACAATTTTTTGTATGGACATCCTGAGGCCCAAAGCAAAACTTTCAGTGCTTGATTCCCAGGCTGTGATTTGAAGTCTAGTGCCGGAACATGAAGCCAACATACTTGGTCCCCAGAATCAAATGGTTTATACAGGGTCTTTATTTAAAATATTGATGATGAGAGTATACAGTGACTCACGAGAAATTTTGATGTTTGATAGCAGCTCATTGGCACACCAGTTTGGGAGTGACTGTCTCTTCCCGTAGATGTCACCTGTGTAGGCACAGCAAAAAGCACTACATTGTAGTACAAAGTAGAGCATCACTTCTAAACTTCTGTTAAGTGTTTTCTTTCAGCCACTCTGGTTGCCTAGATAAAGTGTAGCTGGTAAAGTCTGCTGGAGAATTCACTTGCCCCCAGAGCTAGTTTTTTTATTTTCATGGTTTGTCTTTGGGGTGTTTTAAAGTACCATTTTTTGCTTCAAAATCCAAAGTGCAGCAGTCTACAAAACTTGGTGACAAGTAGCAGATTGTCTTTTTTTTTTTTTTTTCTAACAGAATAATTTTATAATTACAGCCAGTTAAAAAACCCCACACTCTATAACTAGCTCCAAATTAATTCTTGGCTATTCTACAGCTAGAAAAGGCCTAACTAATCTTAAACTATTAAAAAAATCATCTGGGCAGACAAACATGTCTGCCAAGTTTTAGGTGGATAGGATCCAGAGTGGCTGAGATATTAAATGCAAAACTCAGTTCTTACAGTTGAAATGCCAAACTACAACATCAGGACCTTGATGCTATAACTTTTAGGAGAGTTAAGTGGTGTAATACTTTACATAATTATTTCACTTATGAGCAAAAAGGCCTATTAATCATAAGCAGAGCTTTAAGTTATAAGGGCTATTTCTTCAGAAACGTATGCCAGTCATTTGACCAAAAAGGACTGGGCTTTGCAGTTACATGTCACTGGCTTTCAGACTTGCTGCGTAGTGCACATCAACAGATTTTGAAAGTCTATTGGTTATGGCCTCAAGATGTACTACATAACTTATATTTATTTACATTAAATCCATTAGGGCAATGAAGGCTAAATAAAACTTATCTCACTCCATCTCTTTTTTTTCTTTATTTCAGTCTTTATCTTGGTTATATGCAGTACAGTACCTGGCAGAATATCAAGGGCTAAACTCAGCTTTCTCTGATGTTGGTGTACTAGCAGCTTAAACAGCAGTTTTCCTGCCAATTTAAACCTTTACTTTATAATGAAGAATTTAAACCAGAAAAGTTAAGCATTTCTTGGGTTTGCTCTTTAGTAGGAAGTAAGTTTGAATTGGCACTGTGATTGCTAAAGCTCTTCTTTAAAAACTTATTGAACCCAAGCTGGAAATTCTGTTTAAATCCTTGTAGTGGTCTAAGAACATAAAATACCAAAAGTGCAATAAACAAAATAATAAAAAAAATCTAAACAAATAAAACTTGGATTTTTGAGAAACAAGCTCCCCTTTCATTTCTTATTTATTAATTTTCAGTAAAATCATTCAGGCCTAACTCATAAGAGAAATTCCCCCTTTGAGGGTGACCTCAAATCTCTCTCAAAATATACAGCAACATAAAATATACACAGAACATTTTATTCCTATACCAGTGCCATCACACGAATATTATTTCCAGTCTCTGAAATAACACTGTGGACTTCTGGGGTTTTCTGTGTATTTTATTTTGAGGAGCTCCAGAAGATTTCCTTAGTTGTAACAGATCTCCATGAGCTGGCTCTCAGAAGGGAGGAGGAGGCATGAGAGACTTAGTAATGCACTAGGGCAACATGTAAGGAAACTTGTCTTCCTTTCCCTCTCCTTTTACATATACTCTGAGCTTTCTGTTGGTGGGTTTGGGCCAAATGACCAAAACAGTCTATGGGGCAAGACTGTCATGCACAATTATGATCTTGCAGTTGCTGTTCCCAGCTGCAGACAACTGTGTGACTAATTCTGGGGCCTTTACAAAAACTGTAGTGTCATCTGGCCATGGATCACATATGCCTATTGCAAATGAGACTGACATCTACTGTCCTAGCTAATAAACGGCTTTGTCCAGCTGCAAGAGGAGATAAGATACCTGAGACTGTGCTTATCTTGACTGTGCCAATCTTGAGGCATTGGGCTTTGTCTTATTCCAGACAACAGCAGGTTCCCAGAAGCTGAGCTATGTTTCCTCCAAAAGGACTTAGATTTTATATTACCTTGAGAATCAGGGTTATTACAGCTCTTCAGAGCTGAAATTCAAACCCATGCTTATGTACTTAACTGGCCTTGATGATATTAGTCATATTGTCTATGAACGGGCTTATCTTCAAAGGCGTTAAACTTTTATAGTTCTCATTTCTTTGTGTTACAGGTGCTTTGCATTTCAGAGAAGGCATACTTGCTCTCCTGTTTATTCCCCTTCCGTCAGATGATGAACTGGGGGTATGATGACACTGAAACCATGTCTGAAAAACATTTGGAGATTTTGGGGAGCAAGGTTGAAGAAAACTGGGAAATATTACTACTTTATGTTTACTCTTCCATAATTTATGATTTTTTTTCAATACCTCTGCTGTGTTGTCAGTGGTTCCACACACCTTTTTGTGGGAAGACATGCAGTTCATGAAAAAAAAAAAAGAGAGAACGTCACTGGAACTGCAACATAACTGCAGCAGCATCTGCACTAATCTAGAAAATCATCCACACTTCCATCAGAGCTTAGTCTTTATTGGAACTATGGCTCATAATTAGCAACTATCAGCTGCTGTGATTACCAGATAATTTGAATTAAAACTGTATTCAGGTTGATTTTCAGATCCTGTGTTTTCAAATACTTCTTGTGTTGAAATGGCTATTCAGACAAGCTTTTGGAAACAAAGCATTGTACAGCACAAGGTACAGTTCCTTATGTTCCAAGAAGATGGAGAGAAGTCATCAAGCTTCATGAGGTAAAGTGGAACTGACTTGCTTGGGCTGAATAGGAGTTTCAACTTCTTAAATATCATGGGAGTCAAACACAATGAATTGCCTGAAGAAGTTCTGGAGAATTTGGCTGAAATTGGTTCTTCAAAGAAACTATAATTAAAGCTTTATGCAGTGCATCTTCTATGAACAGCTATGAGGTCTTCCTTCAGGGTCACCAGGCTATCAGGAGAACAAAGGGGTGGCCCTTTTTATGGTGAGAATATAAGAATTTTATTTATCAGGAATGGGCACTAAGCACAATCAGCACTCTTAAGTATGAGGCCAAAGGCCCCAAACTATGATGGTGCCCTTGCAGAACATGACTCTACATATAAAACCCTGAGATCTACATGACTATGCAACCAGATGCCATCAGATATCAGTTCTATTTTGGTTTAAAAGGGATCTTCCTCCAAACACATGCAGAAATGTGTTCCTACTCCACAAAGAAACCCTTCTCTGCTTAAGGCCTGCACTGAATTTTTTTTTTTCCTGTGGATGAATTAAGCATAAAGCTGGTGATCCAATATGGACTATGAACTCAATGCTCAATACCAAGACAAGCAGTGCAGGAATGGGATGAAATATTTATTGAAGCATTTTTGTCAGCCAAACCCAGGTTATATATATATATATACTACAGATTTACATCACAAGGGAATAACCATTGTGAACTTGAGATCACCACAGGAAAAAAAATAAATTAATATTTCTGCATTAAAGTGATTTTATTACTGTTTAATTTTCTAACCAAAACGACATCCAAAATCTTCCAAGATAAGCAAGTCTCCAAAATGTCTTCTCTCCTGAAATTTTAATGTGCATCTAGCATTTCTCTAAACTCTCGTGATGAAAGAAAAAAAACAGCTGTCATTTGAAGGTTCATCCCCCTCATCATGAGCTGCATTGACAACTTTGGTTAGCTTGGCTGCTTCTTCTTTAATCCATGGGAAAACTAAGCTTGGCTAACCTTTCACTCAGTGTGGTTTGTTCGCTCTTCCTTTTCCATGCTGGCTCAACTTTCCTGGCTGACATGTTAAATAATCTGGCTGAGCCTGTGTTAGTTCCTCACAAATCTGCACAGGAAGAAAGAAAGGGAACAAAAAGGTAATGGTAAACCAGACACAAATGCTGGTGTCTGTGGCTATAGATCCATGGAGCAGGTGGCTTATGCAATGGAAGCCTTTGTGTTTTCTCATGCACATGATTTGCTAGCACATGACTAAACTCTGAGTGCAGACACATGGCTCCAGAGACATTTGCTCAGTTTATGGGGTGAAGGAAAAAAGCAGAATATATATTTCAGAACATATTAGATATTTCTGAAATACTTGATGGTACATATACTGTGTGTTTAGCACATGCATTATGCCTCAAAGTATTCATGCATGGATATTTACTTTTATTATTTATAGACCAGTTACAACACCAAGCCCACTTCCAGACATCAAGAATAAACCTATATTTCACAGCTATTTTTATAACTGATAGTAAATCTTGTAGATGGTGTTAGTACTGTGAAAGTTATCTGACCTTGAGCAAAAAGAAAACCCCACAGGAAGACTTCTATCTCAGAAAGCATCAAAGTGTGCCTGAAAATGGTTGCTTATTTGCAGCCAGGGACAGTTTGGATCTACCCTAGGTTCCTTTTTAAAATGAAAGAACACTAATGCTTAGCCCAAAAAATTTCGAGGCCAAAAGTACTTTGCTTCAGAGTGGATTGAGCTAGGTGTGGGGCCGGCAGTTTTTGGAAAAGGTTTCATTGCTGTTCTCCAAGAAATGTACACATCAGCATTAAACAGCCACATCCGACTAAAAGACCAACTTCAGGAAGAACACCAGTACTGTATTCTGCGGCTTGCACCACACCATATGCTTGCACTGCCCAAAAATGTTCCACATGGCTGTCTTTCCCTCATGCCAATGACTTAAGGAGCCAGCAGACTCTGCCAGTAAAAAAGAAGCCAATTAGGAGTACCAGAGACTAACAGATGTTAAAGTTGGGGAAAACCATCACAATCATCTATGATATTCAGCCCACACAAAACAAGGAATATCTGTATGGTGTCAATGTACAATTGAGAGACATAAATATTTTTCAAGTAATTGGCACTGGAACAATACCCCTCTACAGTAGACAGAGGCTGTGCCTGAACAGTTATGTTTAATAGGCCTTTCTTAGTCTCTAAAAGCAATGTGATGTCATGTCCATGTGCCTGAACCTCCTTCCTCCCAAAACAGGGTGTGCACTTGTCATATGTCAGGTACAGCTCCTGAAAGACAACGTCCTGATCCTGTGCATTGTCTGAGGGTGACAGTGGGCAACAGAGTGTGTGAGCAGTCTGGCCAGTAATGGTCCAGCACTCTGACCTGCTTATCTTACAAGCGTGAGTTCAGTGAGATAGACTATGTTTTATGAGAAACACAGCAGAACTAACATTTTTTTGACAAAATATAAAGTTTAGCTTTTTATAGAAGCAGCCTGAACATAAATGGGAATTTTGAATGAATGATGTCTAGGCTATACATTATGCAAGGAAAACTCTAAAGCTTGAGTGAATATTTTGGTTTCAACTCCCATCACCATCAGGATGTGAGACTCCCAACTCACATCCCATCAGTTGGGATAGTGACTTACATGGTTCAACAGAAATGTGTGTGTCTGTCTAACGTTTGTTCAGATCTAGTGTCCACTGATTTCTAGGTAATATCTGCTGTGAGGGACATTCATTCTTGTCGTGTAGTAATTTATTGGATCTGTAAGTACTGGTCAGGGCTAGGTTAAAAAACATAACAAATGGGAGGGGAAAAGGCAAATATTACAGGAATTCTTTACTGATCTCTATTGTAGTAGTATACTGAGGCTCTAGAGGGTTACCTTGGCTGCCTGTGAGATATTGGGTACAAAATGCTATCCCCTATCTTGATAGAAAAGTCTTCTATTTTTCTATAGAAAAAGAAGTTCTAACTTTGCCAAAATAAGAACATAAAACTTGCTATGCATCAGAATGAATAGCCATGTAATCCAGGATTCCTCCTCTCAAAATAACTAGACAGGGACTTACAAAAAATATCCACAAGCAGGGAATAGACAGAGTGATAATGATTTTGGAACCTTTTCCTTGTCTTGCAGCTCCTGGTTGGGGGATTTCCTTAGCAGGAGGCAGTAGGTACATCAATATGTTTAATTGATCCCATGGTTCTTCATTTCAAGAATCTACTGGACTTTTTTATAGGTTTGCTAGAGTTTTTGCCTTCACAATATCCCCTGGCAATGAGTTCACTGATTTAATTATACATTAGATAAAAGAGTATTTCATTTGGTCTTTTTAATCTCTGCTTGATCTCTTCACTTCTTATGATAAAAGTCATGGTCATCAGTTGTTCTGTATTACTTTTCACCATTCTATTTATGACATAAAGAAATTCCTTCCTTGGCAATCTATTTTTCTACTCTGGCTCACCTCTCTTACATGAAATTCTTCCATACCTACAGTCACCATCGGCACCTTATGTGTAAGTTGTTCTAGTGTAGCTTTTTGGAGTAGAGCTGCACACACAGAAGGTGAAATGGCTACAGATTTATGATGCTTGGCTTTGCGAGCGAAGATTTGGGAAGGGCTTTAACCACGCTTATGGCACGATGGCCAAGGGAATGTGGGATATGCAAATCTGGTTGGAAAAAAAGGGTGCTTAGGCAATCAGGAAGTGTCCGACCAGGACAGTCATCTCCTGTGCAATCTTGAGCTACCCATGCTCTGGTCCACCCACATGCAGCGTTGGATCTGCAGCTTTCCATACACCTTGTCACCTACCGTTTTGACCCTTGCCTGTCCATACAGACAAGAGAGAGTGAGCCCTTCGAGCCTGCGCAGTAGGTGTGTGGTTAAAGCTCGTACAGAATCTTTGTTAACGAAGACAGGCCTTCCTCAAGAGAAGGAAAACTCCTACCTTCAGACCCGGGATGATGGAGCTTGCCTAGCCTTGTACGGTCTTCCATCTAAGAGAAGGACACTCTTACAGAACCTACGACCTGTGGACTTTGCTGTCACCGTCCTAGCTAACTAGGCCGTGGCAGTTAAAACTCAGGTGTAAAGGGTGGGGCCAGTTCTGCACAAGCTGCACCTCACAGATTTATACAGTGGCAGAAAGAGAATATTTTCTGAAGGTCATGATAAAGAGTAGAACATTGGTTTGCTGACTGTGGAGCAAATAACTATTTCTACAGCTAGAAATACTTATGCTAGTCTCTTCTTCCAAAATATCAGCAAGTAGAAAACCTTATTACAAAAAAGAATATATATCTGTTAAAAAAGGATCCATCAAAAGCAATATACAATTCTACAGTAAAAGCACAGGAAAAGCTGTGATATAAAACCTCAAATATGCCTAAAGTCACACAACTTCACATTCATTTCTTAAAATTTCCATAAGAGTAACACAGACTTTGAGGCCAAACCTTTACATTCATCTTCCATCAACTTCAATAACTGATGTTTAGCAGTAAATTCATGAGAGTTTCAAGTATTCAAGCTCTGGGAAAAATTGGCCACTTTTAGAATTTAACCCTGAAAACAGTAAAGCTAGTGAATGAGTCACTTTAAAGCAGGTTTTCTATCTAATGGCAACCATGTGGACCTACATACTAACGTCAGTTCATCATTTCTGTATCCCACTGTTCAGCAATAGCAGCTCTATCCCAAATCTGCAATGTAAGCCTAAAACCCTATAAAGATCTCATTCAAAAATCTTCAATAAACTGAGCTTTCCAAGATATCAAAATACAGATCAGCAAGGGGACATATTCTTCTCAGTAATCATAAAGAGTATTTTGCATATGACAACCAGGACCAAAAAGCATGGTGCAAACAAACTGAATCAAAAGATGCCTCTGTGTCACCCCAGTGACTTTATAATCCACCAGAGCTTGACTGTTGTGATTACTGTGGTGTCACAGGTGTCTCTGGATGTGTGACCTTACTAGTATATATATCTCATGGGTATTTGTGCTGTTCTCTTCCTTTCTCTTTATACCTAATGCTAAGACTAACTTTAAACTATAAAATGAAATATTTTGATTTATGACAAAAAAGTTAGTTAGGGAAGTTGGATACTAAATTGTTCAGTATGTAGTTGGCTGAGCAAAAGCATTTTGATTCATTCTATTCCAATTTAACTCCCCATTGCAGCTGACCCAAAGGTTGACCTATTTTTATGCTTTGTATCCCCAGGAAAACAAAAAACCCCATGGTGGTACTTGTTAATCATGGCATTTCATACTATATGTTTTAATCTTTTGGTTTAGCATATACAGAAACTAGAACAGAAGTCATGCAAATGTATAAAGTCTTGATATATTTTCTTTCTGAAATACAGTGTTAAAATTATTTTACTGCAACTGTAAATTAGTTTGATCACTTTTGTATGAAAGAAAACATGCATGGTATTCTGGGACTTTGTATTTAGCTTGGTAGCGTAGCTTGAAATGTAGTAGCATCTTAATTTTAGGCATGAACCAATGGTTTATAATGATGCCTTAATTGCCCTACTTCTGTATTTGACTTCTATTTCTTTCTTTTGCTTTGGAGTTATAGTGTATGCTTTTGGTTTTGCTTTATATACATTGTCCTGTTATATCCTGTCAAGCAAATAAGAAAAAGCTCATAGATATCTTCTTACTGCATCCTTTATAATCTCCACACTGCCTAATTGTTGTTATCAGCACAACTGAATTAAGTTTTTTGCAAATCATCCAAATACAAACACACTCTGAAAATCATTCCTCATGCAGAGCACATTTTAACATTTTGCAACTTTGTTTCCATAGTTAAGTATTTTGATTAAAATCTGGAGCTCTAAACATATTTAGAAACTTTTGACATATCTTTAAACTTTTGTTGATTTAAAAAAAGTCCCCTGAATTTGTGGTACAAGTTGGGTTTTAACATCCAGTTTTTAATTTAATTAAGTTCTTAAATTTTAAAATGTGTGTGTGTGCAAAAGAGACAAAAAAAAAAGAGAAAATGAAAATGCATGCTAAAGAAAGTCTGGCTTGTCAGGAATTCCATATTCTGTTGCTAGAATTGTTTGGTTTGCAAGAAAGCAGTCAGCAAGATTACCCACATTTATAAACTTTTGTGAACATACAGTATATTGTAGCAAATTTAAGTATTATTCATAATGCCAAGTATAGTGTTACGTAGTCTACAATAGAATTGGCTTGATTTTTTTTTCCCTTTCCATATGCTGTATTCCTGAATACTCAATATCTGTCCAATCAGCCTGATACCTAATGTGCAACAGATTGAAATGGCAAGTTTCCCTGCAAGGGTCCAAATGCAGGCTAAAATGATCAAAAACTCAACTTAAACATGGCTTATTGATTTCCCTGAACATGGAGATCTCTTTGGTTTCCCCTGCATGTCCACAACAGTATTGGGGTTGAGGAGAAAAGACACTGAGTCTCCATGCATAATTTCTATTATTCTCCCCTCCTCTTGACCCTCAGTCCCTTGCAAACAGATACATGTTTTCTCCATCCCTAGTCTCCTTTGTCTTATGCATCTGAAGTAAAAAGTATGTCCACTATGTAATGTGTAGTAGTTTCCCCATCTCTGGTGCTCAGGCAAGGAGTAGGAAGATGTAGGTGGACAGAGAAACTACATGACTTGGTGGGGCAATCAGATCTCTCCTATATTGGCGTTTTGTGATAAAAAGGGTGTGGCTCCATGAAGATTAGAGGTGGAAGGTGTATTTGCATTTGTGTATATTTATGTACATTATCTAAAGGGGAATAAGTGCTGTATTGAGCACTGGATAGATAGAACTTCAGTGTTGCCTGTGTTCTTTCCAGTTTACATTGCTGTTTTCCAAAGGGTTTGTAAATTACAGTTCAAAGTGATCTACCATATAAAGATCATAAAATGAGCAAATATTTTTTTTCTTTTTTTTCCTCTTTTTTTTGGTTGTTATTTTAACAAGCAGAAACAACGTTTTTTATGTTCAGAGGACCCAACAGAAGAGTCAATGATGCTACTGGTGGTAAGATGCCTTCAGATCAGATATGACGGCTGGCTCAATGCATTTCTCACAGTACCACTTAAGAGTTCAGGGAACATTCCCATACAGTATGCTTTGAGTGGTTCTGAGAACGCGACTTTGTCACCAAGTACTATAAAACTAGGAAATGAGTGAAGGGATTCCTGCCTGCCTTAGTTCTTTTGTCTTTGTCTGACACACCTCAACTTCCTCCTTGGGCAATTAAGTCCTGGATTTTTCTGTCTACCCTTATTTCCATCAAAGCCCCGGTACAGAAAGTAGTATTGCGTCAATAACCATTTTGGTGCAAAACTATTCAATCATTAGAAGGTATATGTGGCAGTGAAGATATTCTAGCTTTTACATTTTTTATCACACTAGGGCTATTTTTTCTTTCTTTTCCACTCTTATTATTAACCTTTTTATAGAAAATTGGCTTACCAAGAATTTATGAATTAGCAAGTCTATTATAATGATGAATGGTAATTACCATTTAAATCCTGAGTCATTCATCAGCTTGTTCACCATATGTCAGGTGATACAAGAGTGCATGAATACTTGTCTGGTGAGTATTTCTCAGCTGATTGTTACATTTTCCTGAACTTTGTACCTGTATGCATATATTAGGTGAATAAAAATTAAAAATGTGGAAAAAAAAATACAGGTAACGTAAGGAGAGAGCGAGTGACAGCACAATAAGAAGCAATGCTGGTAATGACATTATTAGCATTAACATTAGACAATTATTAGCTTTTTGTAAATTTAGGAAGAATAAACATGACTGAGCTTTTCTTCAGATACACAGAAAAGCTTATTATGCCAAATAAAATCCTCATATAAGATTCCTGGTTAAGGAATTATTTTCACAAAAAAAAAGTAATATTTGGGAAAAGGCTTTCCAATCAGCCCAGCTAGCCAGGTCTAGGCTGAAGCTGCTTGGGAATTCCTGCCCTCATCAGATGCTTCTTTAGGAGCGTGAAGGGAGGTAGAGGCTCCTGCCAGGATCCAAGAGAATGGGTGTCTGTGGCAATGGCATTATCCAACCAACATTTAATTTGATCCTACCAGTTTCCTTCCTTGATGGTTTTCAATGATGGGGAGAAAAACTGAAATGGCACAACAGCTGAGCTGTCACTCAGCCTCCAAATCCATCCTGGGCTCTGCTAATGGGTAGTGTGTGGACAACTTCACTTCATCCATCAGTTACAGACATCCGGGGTGTGAATGCAAGATTTCTGTTTCCAGAGTTCTCAGTCCACCTTCTCACAAAGCACAAAACAATGCAAATGTATCCCCTGGGTCTTCCACAGAAAATAATCTTCTTCTATAGAAGTGAATTATTGTAACAGGAATGGGTGCACATTACATGTGCCAAGTGATAAAGACTCCAAGGACAAAGTTAACATTAGTGATTATAACTTTGACTATTTCTTTTCATTTTGATGTACTGTATCTCTCTTAGGTTTAACAGCTCATAAACTGAAGCCAACTTTCTGAATGATCATTTAATTCTTGAAATGTAACCATAGAGTAGGAAGAAAATAGTAAGATATTAATCGTGGCGGCAGACAGCAAAAGCTAGACCCAGAAGTTTAATGGTGCTGAGCTGAATGGAACATAACAAGTCTGCTATCTTAACAAAGTACAGTCTCTGTCTCTGTGTGGGTTGGGAATGTTCTCTTGCTATAAGTATCTGAATACAGTTGAACCTAAAGTAACAGCTGATCTGAGTAATGTTGCATAACTAAGCTGTGGGGTTCTTGTTCATCTTCTCTAGTTGGAGAATGAAAAATTCTAAGAATATTGTTTTAATCATAAGTCTGATGTGCTATCAACACCCAGTTTTCTTCTTTGTATTAAAGTTGAGGTTCTTTTTTTATTATTGCCTCCACTTCTGAAACAAATTAAGTTTCATATTGCTGTTCCAAGACTATGTATGTGAAGAAAAAGGTTGTTGAAGGTTTGTTTTTTAAAAAAAGAACCACAGAATTTCCCATTGGATCCTCTAAACTTGGATCAAACCAAACCTGTAACTAGAGGATGAAAATCTTTCAAACATTCAGCTCGCTGCACAAATTTGGAAAGGTAAACCAAGAGGTAGGATTCACTGCCAGCTTATATCTTGCAGTGGGTGGTTTTGCGTACTCTGTCTGAATCTAAGTAGAATCAGGTGCTGTACCTTAAAATTAGGTACGTTTTCTTCCTTTACAAATGGACTCAATTAGATACTGCAATTTTTAAAAACAGTGTTTTGTGTAAATAATAAGATGCTTTCGGTTCAGATGCTCTTAGAAATGCATGGAAGGGCACCAGATGGAAGCTCACAGAAGAAGGCTAGTGACAAAATTTATTTGCAGCCTAAGAGGAACAAAAATGAAGGAGAGAACATGGTACAATTTTTTTTTCAGGAAAGTTCTGAATAAAGATAATCATGAGGAAATAAAGCCATCTATCCCTAGGAAAAGTGTTAGGATTTGTGGCTGTCAGTTTCAGCAGCAGACTTGCAGAGTAAGCCATTACTCAGACATAAGGAAAGATATCAGAATCATTCTCTAGCCTGTTGTATTCTGTAAATTTTAAGCAGCCTATAAAATAGCATTACTTTCTTGGAGGCTCATAAGTCATTACCATGGTTTTGAATGCCTGCAAAAACCATTGCCCGTTCAGCCCTACATAATGAGACACAAATCTGATAAAGATAACACTTCTGTTTCTGATGGAGTTAAAACATAGTGTAGTAATCAGATGAGTGTTCTTTCAAGGAAAATGCTAAAAAATAATGTCCTGTATGGTGGCAGATACTGCATCCCTGGATCAGCAAAAAGAGCAAAGATTCCCATTGACGCCTCCCACCGGAGGCCCCAGTATTCCTAAGGCCGCCTCTGTATGTCAGCATGTGAAGTTGATCTTTCCCAGCTGACGCTGGGCTGAAATTTCTTGGAAGCAGCTGGGGTGGAGATGTGCCAGACAACCTTAAAAAATAAATCAGTTACAAGTGAACCAGGGCAACCCCCAAAGCCCAGAGGTAGGGCGGGTGTTTTGCTACATGCATTACTAATTAACTGTGAAAAGTTTTGAACGGTCCCAAAATTTTTTGTGAGTACCAGCTACCTTTTATAAAATAGGCCATAAAAAGAAGGTAAAAAACACGGTTCCAGTAACTGAAATAAAGCATACCAGAGTTTTGGGGAAAAAAAACCCCAACCCACAACCAAACCCATTTTAGCTTTCATTTTATTTTTAATTTAATGTGATTTTTCATGTCAGACAGTGTTCCTTATCATAACTCATCTGACATAACCCAGACTGATGCAACATTTTTATGATGCTTATTTCTTTTTTTTTCTTATTCTTCAATAATTTTTTCCAGACAAAAATTACTTCAGCCTGCAGAAAGTCTTTGGACTCTGTCTTAACTAGCCAAAACTTAACCTGCAATTAGGAGTCTTGAATCACTTGGAAAAACAGGTACTCTTTACGTTTGGGTTCATGTTTCAGTAGGGAGAGAGTACTCCAGACTCCTCACATTCTGAGTTCAGGGACCTCAAGGGAGAGTAGGAATTGTACTAGAAGAGCTTGATTTTGGCTAACCAAAGTAAAATAATCATAGTTTTCATATTTTTAAGCTATTTGAGAGACTCCTGGAGCTTTAAACAAGTTTTATCAATAATAAACAGTAACATTTTGTGCTACTTAAGATCTATGAAGGTCAGGAGCTGCACACATCCATTATGTCCTGAATATATTTTGCTGGCCTTTCTGGATTGCATTTTTCAAGAGAAAATACAGTTCATTTGTATCACTTTATGTAACAGTTGTAATAAAAACTTTATAGCGTATCTCATAGAGGAAGGAGATTTCTGCAGTTGCCTGTCTCTGCCAGAGGCAGCTATCTCTTTTTCCATGAGGACACAGCCCATTGATTGAGGCTGGGCAAAATTTCAGTTGCAGCCTATTTCTGTCAATAGCTGAGCATGACACATGGATGCTTATAGCTCACGTTTGCCTCCAAGATGATAGAGAATGAACATGTTGGAACCACTGAACCACTGAATTGGTACTAGCCGATCTAGTCACTAACTTTGCTGTTCTTTGACTGGTAGGCGACGAAAAACAGGGCCAAGTAGGTGCCTTTTATAGCTGATGGAAAAATAATTTACTAAGCCTAGGCTGCACCAGTGGCCGGTATTCTTCCATACACTTGAAGCTGTGCTGTGCAGGGCCCAAGCCTTTCAGAGGCAGAGGCTTTAAGTCACCTTTATTTCCTCACTGTGGACCTCTGTCTGTTTATTGTATTTCTGCTTCCCTGCAGCCTTAAGGGGCACTTTGAGCTGCTGGCAGTCCCAGAGCAGGGTGCTTCAACCATGTCCTTGTATCCCTATTTAGACTGCAGGCACCAACAAGCTACATGATGCAGGTGTTACATCCCAAAGCAAGATAGGTGCATTAGAAAACAGACTTAAGGTACACAGCCTTGCCTAACACCATGTGTCATGGTTTAAGCCCAGCCAGCAACCCAGAGCCACACAGCTGCTCACTCACTTCCACCCCATTCTTCCCCTTGCTCCTGGAGGGACTGGGGGGGGTGGGAATTGAAAGAATGTAACCCCTCCAGGTTGAGATAAGAACAGTCCAGTAACTAAAGTATAACACAAATCACTACAGCTACCACCAATAATAATGATGACAAAGGAAATAACAAGGGAAGAGAATACAACTGCTCACCACATTCTGACCAATACCCAGCCCAACCCGAGCAGTGATTTGCCCTTTAGGGTTACTGCCCCCAGTTTATATACTGGGCATGACATGCTGTTCTATGGAATACCTCTTTGGCTAGTTAAGGTCAGGTGTCCTGTTTCTGCTTCCTCCTGGCTTCCCCTCCTCCCTGGCAGAGCATGAGACTCAGAAAGTCCTTGGTCACAGTAAACATTACTGAGCAACAACTAAAACGCTGTTCCCAGGCTGAAAGTCAAAAACACAGCATTGCAACAGCTACTAAGAATGAGAAATATGACTGCTACTGCTGAACCCAGGACACCATGTTATTAAGAAAGACCTAATTTCCTCGAAGACCACATGTGTATTCCTGAAAGTGAATGTGTGCCTATATACCTGTGTATACATGTAATACTATATTGTGTGTGTATATTATGCATTTCCTTGATAATCTTAAAAATGAAATGAAATTAAATCAAATTAAAACAAAACAAAATAAAGAACAGCAAGTGCTCAGTGTAAACCAGATACAGATTCTGAGTTTAGCTTTCCTGAGTAAGCAGAAAAAAAAGTGGTGGGGGAAAAGTAAGAAAAGTTATTAGAATTAGATTGAGATTCAGTCTGGGAGAGTATATGCAAACTCAAGCCCAAAGGATACTTTTTGTTGTCAGAATTCTTGCTGGTAACTGCAGCAGAAAAATCAGATTTAACTGTTTTTTAAAAACATTTATATTATATCTTTTTCCCTTTTCCTCTTGTGCTTTTCCATAGGGCACCAGGACATTTCTAATCAAGGTAGAAATGCGAAAAGGTATTTTCTCTTAGGAAATCTTCCCTATAATAGAAGTAGACAATTACTATGTTTTAAGGATCCATTCAGTTACCTAATAGATAGTGCATAAACTGGTGTATATGAGCATAAAGATAGGATTTGTAGGAGAAAAAAAAAATAAGATAGAGGTTGACTTACTGAATTTAGGCTAAAAATTCTCACACTTGTAGTACTATATCAAAGAAAACAGATTGAGTAGGAACCTCTCATTTGATCATTTGGAAGGCATTATTTTAACTAAAATACATCGCTAGAAAATCAGTGGAATTAGTCTTCCATTTTCAGAATGAAATCCTGAGAGCCCCTTATTTCATTTTAAATTAGAGTTGTTACAGAAAAAAAGAAATAAATATTCAAATCTGTGGTTTGCTGGAATTATTACAGTGAATGTAAACAGAAGTAGATGGATTTGCAAGGGCTATGAAGGGAAAATGCATCTTAAAAATTAATATTGCCTACAATGCCTTGACTTACTATAATACCTACCAAACCATCTTTAACAGTAGGATTTAAATTGCAGAATTGACATGGCCAGTTTCTAGACCTTGACTTTACCTAGTAAGGAGATCCCTGATGTGGAGGGGACTATTGCTAAGATTCTGTAGTTATCCTCTGCACTGAATGAAAAAAATATTCATGCCTTTAGGGGTTGTGGGTCCTGGCTGTGATTTACATAACTTACTGTGAGCAGCCATGGCAGACACCAATTATAGAGAACTTTGGAACTGCTCTACCTGTAGCTCCCAGTGGAAGCCATGTTTCTGTTGTATTAAATCTGTACAGAAATGACAATGGGGGAAAAGGAAAAAAAATAAATGGTGCTGTGAACATTATAAGTAAACCTCTGGGAACAACAATATATGTACTGTGCTGCAACAGATAATGCAATTTTGCTCAGCATTTCAGAGAGCATCCAAACCAAATAAAAAAATAATAATAGAAAAACCCAAACCCCCCAAGAAATCCAAACCAGAGAGCAGCTGCAATGTCGATTTGCCTTTCACAGCCACCGCAGTTTTGTCAGGCAATAATCTAGAAAGCTGAAATGATTGCTGTTATGTGTTTGGTTTGGAAAGGAAATATGGCCAGGTGAAAAGAATAATACATTTACCAAAGTGTCATCATATACAGTGCAGGGAAGGAATTCTGCATGTTAGCCTGAATAAAAGAAGTGTGCTGAAAACTGACTCAAAAGCTTATGGAGTTAGTGGAGTTAATATTCGCTATAGAAGCCTCTGTAAAGTAGTCCACTGTACAACTAAACTCCACAGCCTGAACATAAGCCGGTGGCCAGCTGGGACCTGCTGCACCTCCACAGAATATAAAAGAAAGCTAGAGGCTTATTTCTATCTCTCTGTGTACTTGGCCTGGCACAAAAGTGTGAGCTACTGATGCTGTGGTGCAGCTCTGCTATCCCCTGCAGATGGATCAGCTTCTTCCACTATGGTGGGACTTCCTCTGGACTTCAGAGAGAGAGAAGTGTTGCTTCCTGTGGACAAGGGTGCAAATATTATGTGCACCATGCTGTGCTTTAAATCCTGCTGCAAAGCGGTGTGCCGCAGCTGGGCCATCCAGCTGTGAAACATCAGCGCTGGATGGACTGGGCACACTGAGGTGCTTGGAGCTGCCCCTGGGACACACCTTGGGTTTTCATCTTGTAAAAGCCATGTAGCTTTCTTGAAACATTTCCCTTGAGGCTTCAGTTACTAACAGAAAAACCTTTGCTGGCATGTACTTATTGCTTCCTAGAAGGTCAGAAAATAAATATTAAAAACCCTTAAATTTTTTACTTTTGTGCCAAACAAACCCAGAATGTCCTTTTTTAAACAAACAAACAAACACAAAACCCAACCAACCAAACCTAAACACAACACCCTCTCCCTCACCCCAATCCCCACCCCTGAACCTCAAAGCTTTCACTTTCAAAAGGAAAGAAAGTAAGGCTTCCTGTCTTAGCTATTGCTGCTGCAGTGCTGCTGGTCAAAGGATAGAAGACAGAGCAGAAGTGGAAGGACAGGACTGTTCAGACATCCCATGCCTGTGTCTGAGCCCAGTCAGAGCCATGACTGGGTCCTCTCTGAACCTTGGTTTGAGAAGAAACATTTTTTTCTGCTTCTGTTTCAGCATAACTTTCCAGCTGTTACCATGCCTGCTTGCTTTGGCTGAATTTAATGCTGAATTGAGCAGGTGTCTATTCAAGTGTTCTGTATATTTATGTTGTCCAAAGCCTTAATTTTCCTCTTTTCTCTGTTGTTGGTTTTACAACAGCTGGTTGACCCCTGGCTCCTAGCAAAATCACTTCCACATTTGGAAAATTTGGAGAAATCCTCAGTTTACTTAATCTTTACAATGTTAAGAAAACCATAGACACAGAAGTTACCTGACTTAAGTGAGGTTGTAGAGTGAATCAACGACAGAGTTGTAAACTAGAACTTGAGAACTCATACTCAGTCCCTTTGTTCTTCCTTAGGGCTTGCCCTTTTGGTTAACCAGCTTATAACAAAAAAATTGGTGACAGTGGCTGTAAGTGAATTAAAAGTAGATCCCACTTGGTCTTCCCTTCTTACATGAATCAATCCTATCTATCTGCAGCACTTAACCTGCAGGAGAAGTGTTGCTCAGCAGCCTTGTAAATTGTCACATGTGCCAAATTCAAAAGGTCTCAAAACCTCTTACTTATGTCTTTCTTAAGAGGTAGAACTGATAGTCTGCTCTTTCTGCATGCTGTAAACAAGGTGACAAATTCTACACAGGAGTCAGTGATGGATGAAATTCAGAAAGGGCTGAATTAGTTTTGCCAAAAGTAATTTTAAATTAGGCTAAAATATTTGTAGCTGGTTGCTATCTTCAGCTGAACAAATGAGCATGCTCACCTCTGAACCTTGACAGCAAAGCCAGGTCAAGGACTTCTTGTGAGGATAGCAGCTCTGAGCATGTTGCTGTGAGTCAAGGAATCTAGTCCTCAGGTATCTGGACTGGAGCTTGGGCTCCTTGGTCCATCCTAGAGAGGGGTTTCTGTGTGGCTG